CCCGTCCCTTCAATGGACATCACACCCACCTGTGTGCTTTACTTCATGTCATGACCTCTGGAATGCCTTCCTCCCTCCCCAATCTCTACCTAGCAAGGGATTGAGCTCTACCTCCCTTCCAGGATTCAGATACCACTTTCTTCTCCTGTTCTGCTTAGCCCAGTGCTTTGTTTACAGAAGTACACAGCAATATTCTGACATTAGAATGAGTCGTGTGTGTATCTTATCTGCCACAAATGAAGATAGAAGGGCATTATGGACTTGGAGTTGAATCATAGGAAGCCAAATGAAGTTATTTGTGAGGAAAGGGAACCCAGTATTTCTGAAAGAATGCTTATTAGGTTGCTCAGGTTTCTGGCATGAGGGGGTAAAGAGGATCTGTTTCCATTTTTAAAAATAAGTAATGAATTTTTCTTCTGTAATATTCAATATTTTCCTGAAAGCAAAGGTGAAGGAGCTTCTAGTTTTTTCTCTGCATGGGTTAGCTCTGGCTTCAATTGTCCTCAAGGAAAAGGACAGACTGTCCCTTATGAGAAAATACCAGACCCAATATACTTATCATAATATATAAATCTCATCTCCCCAACTAAACTGTATGCTCCTCAAGGACAAGAATGAGTTCTGAATTTCCTTTACAGATGCTTTTGCTTCATGGGGACATGTGTGTGCATGCACACAGTGGAACTCTCTAAAATCAGAACAGAAAGGGACAATTTGATGGCATCTCCTCTTACCAAACCCACTTCTGAAACCTATGAAGGCCACGGTCATTGCCTGATGGCACAATTTACTAACCAGAATTTATAGGCCTGGTTAAGTGAGTGCAACTTTCTGCCTGGGTGGAGGAGCAGATAGCTACTATGTTGCATCCCAAGGGGATCAGTAGCAGCATATTGGCTTGTATTTACTCTCTGCACCAGAGGATGCAAGTACCAAAGGGAAACGCACAGCATAGGAGATTTTGATTAAACTTGTCTCAGACATTCCATCTGGAAACACGCATTCCCCCGTCATGGGGTGGGGAGTACCTCAAGCAAGCCATAGGAAATCAAAGACTACCATCATTTCTTATCTACTTTTGAGCAATCTTTCCAAAGTTGTGGGATCTGCCAGTCACTTTTACTTTGGAAGTAACCCCACAGAAGAGAGGTGGGTCTGTATGTTTTGACCAGGGGCCATATAAACTATTGAGCACATGAGTGGCACCATACTGCAATTGCTTTGACTGTGACTAGCAGAATTGGGGCACATGAGTGTGTTGAGGAATAGATGGCTTTGGGTTTTTTAAATTTGTTTTCCTTCAGTTTTACTGTGATATAACTGACATACAAGTATAATTTTCAGGAATACAGCATTACTTGACTTACATTTATTATGAAATGACTACCACAATAAGTTTAGCTAATATTCATCATCTTATACAGATACAAAAAGAAAAAGAAAAGAAAACAAAATGATTTTGGTTCCTCCTGATGAGAACTTTTAGGATTTACTCTCTTAGCAACTTTCATATATATACTATACAGTCATCATGTTGTACATTACATCCCCATGACTTATTTATCTTTTTTGTAATCCTTACCCTAGGATATATTGTTATTGATTGAGAGAGAGAGAGAGAGAGAGGTGAGAGGAATATCAATTGGTTGCCTCCCTCACGTGCCCCAACTGGGGATTGAACCCAAAGCCTGGGTATGTGTCCTGACTGGCAATCAAACCTGCCACCTTTTGGTGTACAGGACGATGCTCCAACTAACTGAGCTACCCAGCCAGGGCATGGCTTATTTATCTTATAACTGGAAGTTTCCACCTTTAGACCATCTTCTTTTCCACATCTCCAACCCCCACCTCTAGTTACTACAAATCTGCTCTCTTTTGCTGAGTTTGGTGTGTACATATTTTTTTATTTGGGGGTATTTTTTAGATTCCACATATAACTTAGATCATACAGTATTTTTTCCTTTTCTAACTTATTTCAGTTAGCAGAATGCCCTCAAGGTAGCGTACTTTGCTTATGATAGAGTTAAAGTCAAATGTGCACTCTCAAATAAGGATGCCTGTCCAGCCACAGCAATGAAATCAGGCAATATAACTTTTTAGCTCCCCAGTGACTGGGCAGGACTGTGGAAAATTCTACCTGATCCTCACACCATTGCCTCCCTCACCAGAAAAAGGTCAGGCAGCAGCCTCCCAGCTAGATCTCTCCGAGTAATTACAGTTTTACCCAGGAGTATTTAGTTTTCCTTTCTGAATATACTCTTGTCAATTTGGAGGGTGGACATGGAAACAGAATATGTAGGAATGTGGCTGTGCTCTTGGAAATAAGCTTTAAAATGTATAATCTCAGATAAAGAACACCTGTGACTGAGCTTAAAAGGTGTTTGGGGCAGAGGGTGGGAAACCAGATTTATCCATAGGCCACGGCTAAGGTCTGTTGGGGTGTTTGGCCCTTGTACCTTTGCTCATGGATGACTCCATTGGCATCTGGTCTTAGCCCTGAGGAGTGAACCCAACCACAGCCCTCACTTTTAGATGAAATCTTGCTTTAAAACAAGGGGCTGAGTGACTGGGAAACGGCCCCCAGCTGCAAAGCCCAGTGGGAACTTGCATGCATAGCATCTTAGGTCAAATTTCTGGAGAAATGATGAAGAGTGACCTTGCCAAAGGTGAGGGAACCCCTTAGAAATCAGGAAAGGGAAACCAGAGGTGCTGGTGATGGTTGTGAAACAGAAAAACTGCTTGGGTAATCCAGGCAGCGAGGCCACAGTCTCCCTCACGAGGCAGGCCTGCAGCAGCTCCCTTTTATCTGCTGCCTCCAAAATCCTCCCTCCAGGGAAAAGCAGCTCAGAACCTTGGGAGAATTCAAGGCTGGACATCGTTATCTTATCCTAGAAGGAAGGCCAGGCAGACAAGATTTGGCTATGCTTGGTGTTCAAGCTCTTCCATGCCCGACTTGCTTCTTGTAGCCACAGAGCCCTAAAGCAGACCATGGGCAAACAGGCTGAGCCATGCCCGGCCAGCATGGCTCAGTGGTTGAGCATCGACCTATGAACCAGGAGATCACAGTTCGATTCCTTGTCAGGGCATATGCTCAGGTTGCAGGCTCAATCTGGTGTGGGGTGTGCAGAAGGCAGCTGATCAATGATTCTCTCTCATCGTTGATGTTTCTATCGCTCTCTCCCTTTCCCTTCCTCTCTGGAATCAATAAAAATATATTTTAAAAAAATAAACAGGCTGAACAAGCAGGAGGATTTTGCCATTAACCTCAGGCACAAGCAGCACCTTTTAAACAGGCTGAACAAGCAGGAGGATTTTGCCATTAACCTCAGGCACAAGCAGCACCTTTTGGTCTTTCCTTGATAATGTGGCCTTAGCTGTATAGCAGCAAGATACCAATAACTGTTTTGTCTGAAATCCATTTAAATAAAGGGCACATCCAATTAAACCAACTAGGGCTTCACATATCTATGATGTCAAATGACCTATTTGATTATTTTTATTTTCATACACGACTAGGTTTTGGTTTTTTAATTTTAGAGAGAGGAAGAAGAGAGAGAGAGAGAGAGAGAGAGAGAGAGAGAGAGAGAGAGAGAGAGAGAGAGAGAGACATCGATGCAAGAGAGAAACACTAACCAGTTGCCTCTTGCATGTGCCCCGACTAAGGATTGAACCTACCACCTTTTGGTGCACAGGATGACGCTTAACCAACTGAGCCACACCATCCAGAGTTACATGACTGTTTTAAATGATAGGGTGTATATGTGTGCACACATGCTCTGTCCACACAGAACTGAACTTGAGGGAAGTAGTATTGTGTATACCCTCAAGTTCAGGTCTATCTGATAAAATAAAGTCCAGCCCCTTTTCCCAAACCTACCAAAAACTAGTCTAGGTTTTAAAATTTGAGCAACTATCTAGGCTGAGTTCTTGAAACCCAGTGTATTAACACTGAATCACTATATCCTTTTGCATAATGGTTGGGGGATGAGGTAGCAGAGCCAGACTCCACCATTGTGTCCAGGCTGTATCCTGTTCACTTTGGGTAAAAAGAATATAATTGTTTAACATTATAAAAGTGTTTAAATATTTTGTAATTTGCAGCTTGAAAAGAAAACAGTAATGGGTTTCCAAGTGCATGCCTTTACTTTTAATGAAGTGTTTATTTTTCATGGTTCTATTGGCAATAAAAGAACAGCTCCACATCAAAAGCCTTCAGGGAAGCAGTTTTCATTTGGAGGACAGTGAGATTGCCAATAATTTTGATGGTGTGTGTGTGTGTTTTTTTTAAAGTAAACTCACTAGATTATATTTCTAGATATAGGTTATTGCCTATTATCCCAGGTAATTATTTTTTTCTCCTACTCATATAAGCAAATTACAACACATTATGTGCTATACTCTAAAAAGCTAAAAAAATTAAGTGACACTGAGATCAGGGGGCTCCATAATGTTCTAATGAACATGCTTCCATTATCTTCTGTGTTTGTTCATTTTGTTGGAAGAATGATTCATTCATTTCAAATTTGGCAACTTTAACGGCAGCAAATAAAATTTTCCTATTACAATGCAAAGTCAGTTTATTGGCCTTCTCAGGCTTTGGGCCCTCGTTTGTGCCTCTGTTTCCTTTGCCAACAGCACCCTCTGCTGGGTCCTGTCATCCATCACATCTAATGGGATCAACCCAAATCGCAAAAGGGAAGCTGCCCTGCAACATTACACACAGAGGGACATGATTCATAAATCAGTTTTCCACCCTGGTGATTCATTACCAGACATATTTTTTCTGTAAAGCAGCACAGTTCAAGGAAGTCATCAAGAATTCAGAAGCTGAAAAAATACCTTTGTTTGATTAATCATCCCTCTGACATTTTTCTTCGTATTGAACAAGGTTAATAATACTTGTTATCACTCAAAGTTAAACTGCCAAGTGATTTTTATTTTGCAAAGGTCTGTTATCACTGCCAGGAGGCTTCAAAGTTGGCATTGGTTCCATTCCTCAGGTATGACCTCGAGGGACATCTGACCAATGCAACATTCCCCACTGGAGAAGTCAGCAGCTTCCACAGTGACCTGGAGAAGCTGACAAAAGTGGAGCTGGATACTTCCAACCATGAAAATGTCCTCATGTCAACCAACTTGACAGCAACTACTACCATCTATATTTTAAAACAAGGTAAGACTATTTCTAACTTCGCCTGACTGTAATAGCACCTATCTTAACTTCTACCCTTCTAATACATAGAATTCACTTCCGTCTGAGAAGATGGCATTGTCTCCCTATTTTTAAGCTCTGGAAGCTGAAACCCAGACAAAATCACCCTTTTCACAGATTCACATAGCAACCTTGAGCCACATCTCTGTGGGAGTCATGAGTTTACATCTTTGCCAAATCCTCTCTTCCGTCAAGTCATTTTGCAGCACCTAGCAGTGCATTAAGCTCTTTCGGGCATGGAAGGGGTTATGGTAAAGAAATGGAGTCTGTGTCCTATCTGATATTAGCATTCAAGATCCATGCTGACATGGGGGAATAAAAAGGATGAATTAGGATACACACTGAGCAAGAATACAAGAGAAATGGGAAAATTAAAAGCTCATTCTGTTTAAGGGGGCGGGGAGAAGGAAAGGAAGGAGGATGGACTTGGAAGGAATGTGTTGGAAGCTAAATGGGAAATGGATACACAAACTATTTCTCTCTGTCCAGTCATTAAAGACTGATTTGGTTGTTAGGCCAGACACAGAACTGTTCAACGTTCAGATACACTCAAAAGGGATTGGTGGCAACCTTTGTCAGTGTTATTGTTTTGTCAGGTACAGCAACTGTGCAGGTTTCCCCAGGCAGTAAGGATGCTAAGTTGAACTTGATACTCTTCTCATGCTAGCTCCCAGCATATCAAACTGTGGAGGCTGATCTATCAAGTCAGAAAGGGAGTTTGCTAGGGAATTCTTTAAAAATGAGACAGAGAAAAAAAATAGCCTGCAGTATTAGGCAGGAGTCTTTTATCCAAGGAACAAACTACCCCAGCTGTGAAAATAACAAGACCCAAATGGACAGAGGGCACATCTGCCTGTCAGAGTGGTTGTCTAGCCCAGAAGGCAGTTGGGGTCCACAGCGCCCCACCTGCTCAGCCCTTCCCAGACTTGCCTCCTAAAGCTAAGCTTGTCTCTCCTCTGCTTCCTATGCTTCCCTTTCCTCCCCTTTCCCCCTCCCTCCTTTGTTCCTCTGCCTACAGAAAATACCCAAAGTACATATCGGGTGAGTCCAGATGGCTCCCTACGTGTCACCTTTGCCAGTGGGATGGAGATCAGCCTCAGCTCAGAGCCTCACATCCTGGCCGGGGCGGTCAACCCCACCCTGGGCAAATGCAACATCTCATTGCCCGGAGAGCACAACGCAAACCTCATTGAGTGGCGGCAGCGGAAGGAGCAAAACAAAGGCAATGTTTCAGCTTTTGAAAGGAGACTGAGGGTAAGGCTTGACCTTATAGAAGATATAGAACTTTCCCTTTGAAAGTTTAAAATTGCAGAGCCTTCCTAATCTGAAGTCCTATTTCTCCAAAGCTCATGTAGGTGACTGACTTATATGAAGTACTGATTCAAGAGGGGGTGCTAATGGCTGATAATGGTTCGGGATCCTTAAATGAACATTCTAATAGGAGCTTTCTTGTCATTAGCCAGCTAAAGTGCTCTAATAGTAGCAATTTCAGGCACCAAGAAAGACTGGGTGGAGAAATGTGTTTCATCAGGTGGCTCTCCAGAATCCCTCACGGCATGCCCTGGAGATTGTTGTCAGGCCCATCAGATTGACCCAGTTTCCATTTTTGTATAGTTTATACTTTATTTGGAAAGACCAGGCAGGTACACACAGAAGGATGAGAGACACAAGGCGACATTTGGACAAAGGTGAGATAAAAGAAGTCAGTGAATGATACCACTGCCATGAATACACACATATGAAGAGCCAGAGGGGTAAAGGACTAATACTGAGGTTGGGCGAGTTGTGCTCAGAGAGAGCTGCCTGGGGAAAATGAAAGATTTGGGAGTTTTTGAGTACTTACCAAGCACAGTTCACCACTGTTAACCAGAGCTCTCTCGGTCCCAATTGCCTTTCTGCAGAGCACAAAGCCTACAAACACCACAGAGCTGTCTGCCTGTCCCTTCTGAAACACCAATGTTAGGATGATGTGACCAACTTTCCAAATATAGTAACATTCAATATCAGCCCCAAAGCAACTGCCAGCCTGAGGGAAATAATCACTCACTATTGAGGCTAGGCCTGCCTTGAGCACCTGTGTCATGCGCAGGACACCTGGATTGCTTGCATTTTCTTCACTCACAGTAAAAATTCACTCAGAGAGAAAATGTGGTATCCTTTAAACTGTGGAAATGCAACAATAAACAACCACCCAATTCCAGTGAGAAGCAGTCAAACTAATCTCATGGCTTGATAGGGACAAAATAATTTATGACAGTGTTCGCTTTCCAATCAATTCTATTGGTGACACCAAGACACAGACTTCAAGGGTGTTTTTTGGAACAGCGCTAAAGTTGTCTACATGCACAAGTCAATTTGTATGTTCTGATTCTATTGACTGGTCCCTAGAAGAATATTTACCGGATATGCCACTGACTTGAGAAGTGAAACCAATCCAAATAGTCAGACTTCTCTGTGTGAGTAGCAGTGAGGGTTTCTATTAGGGTTCTAGAAATGGCATTCCCCTGGATAAAGTTAGATGACCTGGCCTTGCTACCCAATTTTACAAGTGACTTAAGAACGGACTTTATTTTCTTCACCTTTGAAATGTAAGTGTTATACTAGAGAAAAGAATTATCTACATACGGCTTATCAGCCTCATGGATTCAAAATAGAAAATAATATTGAATAAGTGATCTCTTAGTGCCCCCCCCAGCGTATAGCCTCGATAAAACATTGTGAACAAAATCATACACTATCTGACTGGCATTTTCCATTCTTTAGGATAGTCCATCCTATACTGTGGGATTTTCCATGATCTAAGATAACCAACCCTATTTTTTCCCCCTCCATGTGTACAGATGATAGAGACTAGAAACTTTAATTTACACCTCATATCCCAAATTGTTCTTACTGTTGAGAAACTAATGGTTATAAAACATTTGGGAGCTCTTTCCTGTTAAGGAATAGAATGAAGTGTTATTTAGTTAATACTATTTATAGTTGACATGTGGTAGAGTTGAGTGAATTTGTGCAATGGCTTATGAGGGCAACAAATTCAGGGCCTTCTTCTCTATATGACCTCTGGGGCGCTTCCTGAGGTCCTAGTACTGGAGACTGGAGACCCTTATTGGCTAGGTGGTGTTACTGTGCATGCCTCTAGAAATCTAACAGTAACAATCATTTACTTATGTTTAGTGCCTTAGAGTTAACAAACTGCATTCAGAACCAGGATTTTTTTTTTTTATCACCACAACCATCAATTGTTGTTATTCCCAATTTATAGATAGAGACTAAAGCCCAGAGAGGTTAAGTGATTTGCCCAAAGTCAATCAGCTATTAAGGATCAGAGCCAGCACTAAAATGAAAGACTTCATGTAGCACAACAGTCTTTCCACTACATCATGCTGTGCTGCCATGCTCCTTAAAATAATTCATCGAAAAATCGTTGCCCCATTCAGTGGAGCCACCTTGGCAGAGCCTGTGTCCTTGTTTCAATGTTGACAAAAAGACTCTAATGTACTGGCAAGTTTGGGTGGTACGGGACAACTGGCTGGCCTCCCGGCAATGTGTGAAGATGGCAAGAGGATGAGGAAAGCTATATAACTGGTTCATTTGTACCTGCTCTCTCCATCCTCTGCTATTTTCATTTATACCACTGCCTTAGCATCCCTACAATAGGCATATCTGATTTAGGGGAATAAATATGTTCCCAAAAGGTAGGTGTGGATCCAGTTTTGACAGAGCAAATTCTCTTTCCTTACTGACTTTATTATTCCAGAGATGGTGCCCCTTCACTTCTGGTGTCCCTTTCAAGGGGCAAGCTGACGACACTTGAGATGTAACTTTCTTCTGGGCCAAATATGGAGTGACCCATTGTAAGCATACATGGAAAAAAAATAAGCCTTTCTGATGCCCTCAAGTACTTCGAGACATTGGACTGAACCATTTATTTCTCCTGGTAAAGCTGCCATTGCACAGTGAGGCATGTCGGGGTACCAGAGCTCTTGACACAGAATACCAGATTCACATGGTCACACAACATAGAAACTCCAGCTGTATTGGGACAAATGAGGGTTCTCTTTGAAAAACCACACAAAGGTGTGATTGTAATTTGCAAATGTGCTTGGGCAGCAGGTTATGAACCACTAATTATTCAGGCACAAAATTACAGGTTCATTGAAAGGCTCACTTGGTAAGATAAAGAACATCAAATGTTTGAGAAAGCTACCTATCACTTTCACCCAGACCTTCCAGCTGGAAAGAAAAACATCAGAAAGGGATAGTCCTCTCTAACAATTACTTTTCTCCAGTGATCAGTGGTCATGTTTTTTTATACAAAGTCAGGGTCCCCTTCAAGGTGGAGGAGTCAAACTGCTAGGAAACATGATATCCTGCTTAGCCTGAGCAGGCAAGGGATTTGTTACCTCTGAGCCCTCCTGTACCAGCTCCACTAAATGAAATAAATCACATTAATATCCTGAAATTTCATTTATTTTAAAAATCCATTTTCCTCAACCTGAGTTGTGTTTGAATCATCTTCCTTGCAAAGTGCTTTTACATCCAGTCCATGCATCTCCTCATCTGCTGCATCAATCTGTCCCCATAAATACATTTCCCTGGACAATAGGGAAATTAGAATACAGATAACAGTAGAGGCAGTTGTAAAAGAATTGGACATTCACCAAAAACAAACTGGTTTAGGAACTTTATCCAGATTGTACCTTGCCGTGTCTGTGGATAATAATGCCATTATATGAGATATCCCAGCATTGGATCCCAGAGCTCTTTACAAGATTTTTCAAACTGAGATGTGAGATTACAGCAAAACTCCAGAACTGCAGTCTCCTTTGTATATTATACTAGAGGTCCAGCGCATGAAATTTGTGCATGGGGCGGCGGGGGATGGGGAGGGTCCCTCAGCCCAGCCTGCAGCCTCCCGCAGTCCGGGACCCCTCGGTGGGTGTGTGCCTAAGCCAGCAGTCAGACATCCCTCTCGCAGTCCTGGGTTCTCACAGTCTGAGACCCCTCTCTCCTTACCGCCCTCCTGCAGCAGAGGCAGGAGAGGCTCCTGCCACCGCCACTGCACTCGCCAGTCATGAGCCTGGCTTCTGGCTGAGTGGCACTCCCCCTGTGGGAGTGCACTGACCACCAGGGGGCAGCTCCTGCATTGAGGGTTTGCCCCCTGATGGTCAGTGCACATCATAGTGACCAGTTGTTCTGACGTTCGTCCTATTTGCATATTAGTGTTTTATTATATAGGATATTTTCCAGGAAACTTAGTACTTCAAAACAAAGTCATAAAAATAACTAAGATGATTGTGTTTACATGCAAAATGAAGCAAAGACCAATCTAAAATCCTGACAATTTATTTTTTTTTCTGCTCACAGATAACTGAGACTGTAGTAAATTGGCTTTTAAATGCAACATGTGAACGTTCATATGTGAACTGAGCTCTGAAATAGGAAACAAGCCCAGTTGAAACACAGGGTCTCAGGCTGACAGATGAGGGGGAATTTGGGAAGCAGCCAAGAGGATCCCAGCACCTCCCTCCATTCTCAGAAAACGTCTTTGCTGTGCTAGGGCACTTCAACTCCACTTTAAGAGATTTCCCTGTGTCTTCTGTTTCTTAAATAGTCAGCCAAAAATAATCCTTGTGCCAAAGAGATTATTTTTGGGTGGCAAATTCTGCTCCCCTTCAAAAGAATGAGTAAGATTTTGAGGAAGAACGGGTATGCCCATAATTTTGCACCATTTTCCTCATCTATAAAATGAGGGATACGGGTTGTGTGATCTCTATTACCAGTAGTATTGTTATCATTAATCATAATTACAGCAACTAAAATTCACTGAGGTCTTACTATGTGTATCATATTGGAGATGGGGAGAATTCTTCCCTCTACCCTCCTTAAGTCCTTATGTCTGAACCAATAATAAAATTGACACAAAACCATATTAGCAGGAAGAAAATTGAATAGACCAAAAACAGACAAATATCAGCGGTTGTCTATAGATCAATCTAGTATATCTTTATCCTACTAATTGAATGAGTCTCAAATTGGAAGGGCTGAAAGGACTTTTTCTTAAGCAATTAAAACACATACTCCTGGGAAAGACCAAGCACAGGCTCAGAGGGAAGGCAAAGGACACTTTTCTTTGGAGCTTCACCCTGTACCAACACTTCACAGGCACTTTGATTTCTGATGGCAACACAATCCATGATCCTCTTCCCTTTTTCCTTTCTGGTCTAAGTATGAACGAAAAGAAAGCCCTT